ATTTTCCCAGAGTATAGTGAATGAGGTGAAGCTCTGCTGACTGGCGTTTTGCGTTGCGTTTTTTTTTTTTGGCCACTTTTAGCTTTTTTTTCATTCTTTTTTCATTTTTCTTGTTGCTAGGCAGATTTAAAACGCATCAAAAACTCATCAAAAAATGGCAAAAATGCACTTCATGCTTTTCTGCACCATTTCCATTGCAGTCTATAGAATCAGAAACGCAACTTTTTGCGTTAAAAAAAAGTTCCTGACCCTTTCCAAAAAATGCACCGGGTGAAAATGCAGAGATGTGAACGTGTCCCATAGGAAATCATGTTAAGTGGACCGTACTGCGTTTCTGCAAAATGCTGCAGAAGACACTTAGGAGTGAACCTAGGGTAATCTCTGGGGATAATTCCACTGTGCAACTTCCCTTGCAAAGTGAACAAGCTATTTGCCTTTAGTAAATCAACCCAGGCACAGTCAGCCCTCCCGTACTGTAGGCTCAGACCCTAATGGTGCAGCAAAGAGACCCAGGTCTGGCTGGGATCCAAGATGAGTCTGACTGGTCTGCGGGACCTGTACAAATCATTAGTAAGACCTCATCTGGAATATGCAGTTCAATTTTGGGCACCAATTCACAAAAAGAACATTGGGGAACTGGAGGAAGTACAGAGAAGGGCAACCAAACTGATAAGAGGCATGGAGGAGCTCAGCTATGAGGAAAGATTAGAGGAACTGAATTTATTCTCTCTTGAGAAGATTAAGGAGGGATATGATCACCATGTATAATACATAAGGGGGGATATGATCTCCATGTATAATACATAAGGAGGGATATGATCACCATGTATAATACATAAGGGGGGGATATGATCTCCATGTATAATACATAAGGGGGGATATGATCACCATGTATAATACATAAGGGGGGGATATGATCTCCATGTATAATACATAAGGGGGGATATGATCTCCATGTATAATACATAAGGGGGGATATGATCTCCATGTATAATACATAAGGGGGATATGATCACCATGTATAATACATAAGGGGGATATGATCACCATGTATAATACATAAGGGGGGGGGGGGGATATGATCTCCATGTATAATACATAAGGGGGATATGATCTCCATGTATAATACATAAGGGGGATATGATCTCCATGTATAATACATAAGGGGGGGATATGATCTCCATGTATAATACATAAGGGGGGATATGATCTCCATGTATAATACATAAGGGGGGATATGATCACCATGTATAATACATAAGGGGGGGGGGGATATGATCTCCATGTATAATACATAAGGGGGGATATGATCTCCATGTATAATACATAAGGGGGGATATGATCTCCATGTATAATACATAAGGGGGATATTGATCTCCATGTATAATACATAAGGGGGGATATGATCTCCATGTATAATACATAAGGGGGGATATGATCTCCATGTATAATACATAAGGGGGGATATGATCTCCATGTATAATACATAAGGGGGATATGATCTCCATGTATAATACATAAGGGGGGATATGATCTCCATGTATAATACATAAGGGGGGGATATGATCACCATGTATAATACATAAGGGGGGATATGATCTCCATGTATAATACATAAGGGGGGATATGATCTCCATGTATAATACATAAGGGGGGATGTGATCTCCATGTATAATACATAAGGGGGATATGATCTCCATGTATAATACATAAGGGGGGATATGATCACCATGTATAATACATAAGGGGGGGGGGATATGATCTCCATGTACAATACATAAGGGGGGATATGATCACCATGTATAATACATAAGGGGGGATATGATCTCCATGTATAATACATAAGGGGGGATATGATCTCCATGTATAATACATAAGGGGGGATATGATCTCCATGTATAATACATAAGGGAGGATATGATCTCCATGTATAATACATAAGGGGGGGGGATATGATCTCCATGTATAATACATAAGGGGGGATATGATCTCCATGTATAATACATAAGGGGGGGGATATGATCTCCATGTATAATACATAAGGGGGGGATATGATCTCCATGTATAATACATAAGGGGGGGGATATGATCTCCATGTATAATACATAAGGGGGATATGATCCCATGTATAATACATAAGGGGGGATATGATCTCCATGTATAATACATAAGGGGGGATATGATCTCCATGTATAATACATAAGGGGGGGATATGATCACCATGTATAATACATAAGGGGGATATGATCTCCATGTATAATACATAAGGGGGGATATGATCTCCATGTATAATACATAAGGGGGGGATATGTAATCACCATGTATAATACATAAGGGGGGATATGATCTCCATGTATAATACATAAGGGGGGATATGATCTCCATGTATAATACATAAGGGGGGGATATGATCTCCATGTATAATACATAAGGGGGGATATGATCTCCATGTATATTACATAAGGGGGGATATGATCTCCATGTATAAATACATCAGTGGTCCATATAGTGAACTCGGTGTAGAGCTATTCACCCTGAGGTCATCACAGAACACAAGGGGGCACTCTTTACGTCTGGAGGAAAAGAAATGTAATCTCCAAACATGGAAAGGTTTCTTCACAGTAAGAGCTGTGAAAATGTGGAATAGACTCCCTCAAGAGTTGATTCTTTCCAGCTCAGTGGATTGCTTTAAAAAGGCCTGGGTTGTTTCTTATATACACAGAATATAACTGGATACCAACATTTATAGGTAAAGTTGATCCAGGGAATATCCGATTGCCTCTTGGGGGATCAAGAAGGAATTATTTCCCCAGCAGGAGCAAATTGGATCATGGTTTGCTAGGTTTTTTTTTTTGCCTTCCTCTTGATCAACTGTGGGTATAGTATTATATCTTTTTTTTATGGTTGAACTGGATGGACTTTTGGCTTTTTTCAGTCAGACTAACTATGTAACTATGCTGCCCATTAGACTTGCACTGGCCTAGCCCCTTTTTTTTCACCAAGCAGGGTCTATCAGGTAAGCTGTATAGGCTCCATGATTTCTAATGGCGGTCCTGTAGCAACCCTACTAGCTACTCAACTGCTAATGGTTAGGAACAATATAACAGTTATTTTTATCATAAAGGTGCACTTTTTCTTTAACAAAACAGTAGAACATCAAATTACTGTATAAAATGTGTATCTCATAGCAGCCAATCAGGTGTCAGATCAGTTAATAGTTGGTATATGATTGGTAGCTAATGTTTCTTCTTTCAGTGCTGTATAGTCCCAGAGCATTATCTGGACAGCTCTTCCTAAAAAAGAGGTGTCAGGTATAAACTTGTCCTTCATCCCAGAAATTGTCCAGTGGATGGCTGAATCATTTTTACCCTGGTCTTTGTGATCTGGGTCCCATTAACCCTTGGCTTTGCTTTCCCAGCCCTGTCGTATTCTGGTGATCCTTTGGTCGATGCATGGAATGATGAGGATGAATTTCATGGCCAGCACGGCACATGGGATGATCAAGGAGATGACAAAGGCTGGGGGGAGATACCACCGGTAGAACGCATCGTAGATGAATCTGTCCCCACCGTAGACCAGTGTGTGTGCTGTGCAGAGGACCAGGGTCAGGTAGCCCAGTTTTGACTGCAAGGATAATGAGAAAAAAAAAGCATTTAGCAAAGCTGCAAAGAGACCCGATAAAGATATGACCATTGTGAGCTGTTATTTTCTTGTGAAATGTAAGAAAACCGCTAAATTCAGGAATCAAATACATACATACATAGGAGTTGTAGGAGTTTTTCTTGCCATATGATTTTATTAATGGCTAGTGATGGGCTGAACACCCCTCTGTTCGATTCTCGGTCGAATATTTGAACATAACGGAAGTTCAACCTCGAACTTCGAACAGAGGTTAGGGGACAATTCACTCAGTGGTATCTTACCCTATATGAGTACACAGCTACTAAAAACATTCTTTATTGTTTCAGCTGTCAATGGGGTTCCCACTGACAGCTAAATGTAAAAAGAATTGTCGGCATTGCCCGGCATTTAAAAATGTTTTTTTTTTATTAAATGCGTGGGGTCCCCCCCATCCATACCAAGCTCTTCAATGGGCAGGTCGGCAACTGGATATCTTCCTGCAGGTCAGCTTTAGAGTGTATGTAAAGCCATAACTTTGTTTTTCAGTTTTGGATAAAGTAGGGAATGGTTAAAGGAAACTCAAAAAAACTATTCCGTGCAGTTTAACTACACCCTTACTGCAAGGGTTACTTGTTTGTGATGTTGTTTAGGTCTAGGAGACATAGAATAGAAGATCTACTTACCCAATCCTCTGCTCCTCCATGCTGCTAGACCAGTCCCCGCAGCATCTTCTCCCCCACACTCCAGCGGTCTAGGGCCCTTACATCATCAAGACCAAGGCAGGGTCCATAGCCCAGCATGGGACGTGATGACGCCAAGGGACAGTCCACTGCTGAAGTGTGTAGGAGCACCGTCTGCCAAGGGAGCAGAAGATCATGTTAAAGTGCTTCTCTCCCCTACAGACTAAACCACTTAATGTGTTACTAAACCCACAACAATAACATCAGACTGTATATGCAATAAAGCATGCTTGTTATACTCACTGTGGAACCTAAGGGGTTAATCCTCTGCATTGTGTAAAAACACTGTTTGATCCTGTCTTCTCTGATCCTCCCCTTCTTCCAGTGTCCCCCTCCTATCTCCTGATAAGACATATTGTGTGGAGTCACTCTGCACATGCTCAGTTTGGTGTGTATTGCTAGAGGTTTTTTTTTCTTTTCTTGGGAGAGTGCATGTGATCAGCACAGGGCCAATCAGCACTGTCCAGAGGTCAGGGGTCTTGCATCCTCCTACAAGAGAATGAAAACTCACCCCACAAGTTTTAACATGTGCTTGGATGGACACTGACAGAAGTCACAAGACTGCTCTTACTGATGATGAGAAAAGGTATTTAGCAGTTTATATTTACTAAAATAATTAAATTTTCATGTTCTGTGTACTGTGGGGACCAGATATAGTGAAATGCAGGGTCCGGGGAGACCAGATATAGTGAATGCAGGGTCTGAGGAGACCAGATATAGTGAATGCAGGGTCCGGGGAGACCAGATATAGTGAATGCAGGGTCCGGGGAGACCAGATATAGTGAATGCAGGGTCCGGGGAGACCAGATATAGTGAATGCAGGGTCCGGGGAGACCAGATATAGTGAATGCAGGGTCCGGGGAGACCAGATATAGTGAATGCAGGGTCCGGGGAGACCAGATATAGTGAATGCAGGGTCCGGGAAGACCAGATATAGTGAATGCAGGGTCCGGGGAGACCAGATATAGTGAATGCAGGGTCTGGGAAGACCAGATATAGTGAATGCGGGTCCAGGTATAGTGAATGCAGGGTCCGGGGAGACCAGATATAGTGAATGCGGGGTCCGGGGAGACCAGGTATAGTGAATGCAGGGTCCGGGGAGACCAGGTATAGTGAATGCGGGGTCCGGGGTTTAGTAACACTTTAACCCTTATAGTGCAATCACAGTCCCACCTAAAGGGATAATTTTTCAGTTTCCTAGAGTTGGTCTTTAAGACCATTTTATACTTCAATATTTTTATTGACAATTGGTTTACAGTGGTATGCATAGGAACAATAACATTTCCGCCCACATGGCGAAATGGTGAGAATAAACAAAGTCATGGAACATAAAAGCATATATATAAAAAAACAGCATTCTCACCAGGTAGCAAACATTCCAACAAACGATGGACAAGGGCATTGCCAGAGAAATTAACCACCAATATAAAACCCCAATTCAAAAGAAAAAAAGTTAAGAATAGGGAGATCGAGAGAAAAGATCTAGGATAAGACAAGGAGGAGAGAAGAAAAGAAAAAGACAAAAAAAAAAAAGGGGGGGGGGAAGAGGGAGAAAAAGAGAGTCAGCTGCGGCATTGTTTTGTTAAGCAATGGAGATACAGTCAGGTCCATAAATATTGGGACATGGACACAATTCTAACATTTTTGGCTCTATACACCACCACAATGGATTTGAAATGAAAATGAACAAGATGTGCTTTAACTGCAGACTGTCAGCTTTAATTTGAGGGTATTTACATCCAAATCAGTTGAACGGTGTAGGAATTACAACAGTTTGCATATGTGCCTCCCACTTTTTAAGGGACCAAAAGTAATGGGACAATTGGCTTCTTAGCTGTTCCATGGCCAGGTGTGTGTTATTCCCTCATTATCCCAATTACAATGAGCAGATAAAAGGTCCAGAGTTCATTTCAAGTGTGCTATTTGCATTTGGAATCTGTTGCTGTCAACTCTCGAGATAAAATCCAAAGAGCTGTCACCATCAGTGAAGCAAGCCATCATTAGGCTGAAAAAAACAAAACAAACCCATCAGAGAGATAGCAAAAACATTAGGCGTGGCCAGAACAACCGTTTGGAACATTCTTAAAAAGAAGGAACGCACCGGTGAGCTCAGCAGCACCAAAAGACCTGGAAGACCACGGAAAACAACTGTGGGGGATGACTGAAGAATTCTTTCCCTGGTGAAGAAAACACCCTTCACAACAGTTGGCCAGATCAAGAACACTCTCCGGGAGGTAGGTTTATGTGTGTCAAAGTCAACAATCAAGAGAAGACTTCACCAGAGTGAATACAGAGGGTTCACCACAAGATGGAAACCATTGGTGAGCCTCAAAAACAGGAAGGCCAGATTAGAGTTTGCCAAACGACATCTAAAAAAGCCTTCACAGTTCTGGAACAACATCCTATGGACAGATGAGACCGAGATCAACTTGTACCAGAGTGATGGGAAGAGAAGAGTATGGAGAAGGAAAGGAACTGCTCATGATCCTAAGCATACCACCTCATCAGTGAAGCATGGTGGTGGTAGTGTCATGGCGTAGGCATGTATGGCTGCCCATGGAACTGCTTCTCTTGTATTTATTGATGATGTGACTGCTGACAAAAGCAGCCGGATGAATTGTGAAGTGTTTCGGGCAATATTATCTGCTCATATTCAGCCAAATGCTTCAGAACTCATTGGACGCTTCACAGTGCAGATGGACAATGACCCAAAGCAGACTGCAAAAGCAACCAAAGAGTTTTTTAAGGGAAAGAAGTGGAATGTTATGCAATGGCCAAGTCAATCACCTGACCTGAATCCGATTGAGCATGCATTTCCCTTGCTGAAGACAAAACTGAAGGGAAAATGCCCCAAGAACAAGCAGGAACTGAAGACAGTTGCAGTAGAGGCCTATCAGTGCATCACCAGGGATGAAACCCAGCATCTGCTGATGTCTATGCGTTCCACACTTCAGGCTGTAATTGACTGCAAAGGATTTGCAACCAAGTATTAAAAAGTGAAAGTTTGATTTATGATTATTATTCTGTCCCATTACTTTTGGTCCCTTAATAAGTGGGAGGCACATATGCAAACTGTTGTCATTCCTACACCGTTCACCTGATTTGTATGTAAATACCCTCAAATTAAAGCTGACAGTCTGCAGTTAAAGCACATCTTGTTCGTTTCATTTCAAATCCATTGTGGTGGTGGTGTATAGAGCCAAAAATGTTAGAATTGTGTCGATGTCCCAATATTTATGGACCTGACTGTATATCTGATCCATGGTTCCCACGTTCCCTCAAATCTAGATTCATCATTATTGACAATGCTAGTTAACTTATCATTTACCATTATCCAATTAAGTTTTTGTTTAACCCCGTCTAGCAGAATCAATGATTGTCTCCAACTTCTAGCTATGGTAATACGTGCCACCAGTAAGAGGTAATGAATTTTTTTAGTCGATTTTTTGGAAACGGTAGTAGGTCTGCAGGTTTACTATTCACCTTAACGAGCATGTGGTCAGTTCAATGAGTGAATTGGTCAATGGGTGAAATGTTATTATATATAAAAAAAACACAGGCCACATCATCATGATTACTATTAATTAAACTAAGTCCTACCTTATAGTCCAAATAAAGACAATTATGTCATAATGACGAGTGCTCTGCAAGACCATGATTATACAGTATAATTAAAAAATGGTTTGCAACATTAGTGGTGTAGACACAATCAAGCAGGAGCATGCATGGCTGTTTTTCCACCCATGCCCATGATGTTGTAATGGCTTGTGGTTAGAGAGTCTTGAGGAGCAATGTTAATTCATATAGAGGCCTAAGTCATAGAGTAGGACCGATCTGATTAGAAGCTGATTAATCCATCAGCATGATTTTGGAAGGAAGTCTTCAAGAACTTCAGACAAGCTCTGGTGGGGACTTTCAGTGGAGGGGTAATGCGCTCTCTCACCACACATCTATCTCATTAGATTCTTAAGGCTGAACTTTTATTCTCTCAATTTATAAAATAATGAAGTGATAATCAAACTAAAAATGTAAAGTTGTCCCTGTATATATAGAAAAAAATTTCTAACAGCCAGGGGCGGACTGACTATTCGAGCACTTGGGCACTGCCCGAGGGCCCGGGGTCAGTAGGGGGCCCCATGAAATGCCCCTGGTACCTTTTTTATAGGCTTTTTTGAGTGTGGGCAAGGACACAGGGGCCCCATGATCCCTATTGCCCGGGGGCCCCATGAGTTGTCAGTCCGCCCCTGCCTACAGCATAGTGCAAAGGGAAATCATATCAAATTAGGTATAGAGGAAGACCACCAGGACCGTCTTGAGCACACAGCTTTCCAATTGTTTCAGATAAACCAGAAAGTCTGAGGTGACCCCTCTCTTCTCATTATAGTATACTGTAGAATTTCTTAAAGTCAAAAATCCTTCCACTTGCAGACCAGAGAGAAACTCTACTATAATGAGAGGCGAGGGATCACCTCAGACTTTCTGGTCTATCTGAAACAATTATAGAGCTGTGTGCTCGAGTTGGTCCTGGTGGCCCTCCTCTATACTCAAGTTGATATGGTACTCCTTTGCACCTCTCTCATTATAGTAGAATTTCTTAAAGTCAAAAATCCTTCCACTTGCCGATCAGAGTGAAAATACAGTATGCTATAATGAGAGGAGAGGAATCACCTCAGACTTTCTGGTTTATCTGAAACAATTAGAAAGCTGTGTGCTCGAGATGTTCCTGGTGGCGTTTCTCTATTCTCAGTTTGATATGATAATCCTTTGCACTTCACTGTAGGTAAATGTTGCTTTATTATACTGAGCCTACTTTCCATTTTTAGTTTGATTTATCACTTATTTATTTTATGAGTTAACAGAATAAAATTTAAGTCCTAGGGATCTACTGGGAGAGATGCACATCGCCCCTCCTGAAAGTCCCAACAGGGCTTGCCTGAAGTTCTTGAAGGCTTCTTCCCAAAGTCATGATGATGGGTTAATCAGCTTCTAACCAGACTGGTCCTACTCTATGACTTAGGGTCTATATTCAAATCAACACTACTCCTCGAGACTCTCTAATCACAAGATATTACAACCTCATGGGCATGGGTGAAAAAACAGCCTTGCGTGATCCTGCTTGATTGAGGCTATACCAATAATGCTGCAAACCATGGACAAGTATACTGTATAATTATGGTCTCGCATAGTACCTATCATTATGACATAATTGATTTTGCACTACGCTGTAGGTAAATGTTGCTCTAATATACTTTGACTACGTTCCATTTTTAATTTAATTTTCACTTTTTTTTTATTTTATAAGTTGATAGAATACAAATTAAGTCTTAAAGAGGAGTTACAGTGAAAATGAACAAAAATAAAAGCCAGCAGCTATAAAAACTGTAGCTGCTGACTTTTAAAAAACAGACACTCGCCTGTCCCTCGATTCCGCGGTGTCCCCCCCCCCCGGAGCCCGCTTCACCAGCCATCATGTGTTCCCGGCATCAGCATCTTCAGTGTGGGCACCGGGCTGTGACAGCTTGCGGCTTTACAGCCGGGTGCCCACTGTGCATGTGCAAGTAGCGCTGCACTGTCTGAATGGTCCCGAAGTCTTCTGGGACCTGTCACATGTCCCAGAAGACTGCGGGGAGTGAGGAGGGAGGGACAACTTCTGCTTCCAATCGTCTAGGTAATCGCAGCAGAAGTGGGAGCAGGTACCTGCCAATTTCGGGTACCCGCTCCCCTAAGGTGCCAATCCTTAACGGGGAGTGGGGGGCCAGTCCTTAAAGCGGAACTTCCCCTTCCCACAGTCTGATGGCTGACTGTCCCTCGACGTCCTCATGTCCGGTGCAAGGGGTGTATATAATGTGGAGACCAGTCTAGCTGCGGGGAGGAGCGGGTAAGTATATCTCCTTTTCTTGTTCCCTTAGACCCAAACAAGCAATGAAAGTGTTACTAAAACCAGGACCCTGCATTCACTATATCTGGTCTCCCCGGACCCTGCATTCACTATATCTGGTCTCCCAGGACCCTGCATTCACTATATCTGGTCTCCCACAGTCCATACAACATGGAAATGCAATTAATTTAGTAAATATAAACTGCTTAATACCTTTTCTCATCAGCATTTAGAGCAGTCTTGTGACTTCAGCAGAGCACTGGTTAAAGCTTGTAGGATGAGTTTTTTAGGAGGATGTGAAATCCCTGACCCTCTGTCTGGATAGTGATGATTGGCCCTGTGCTGATCACATGCACCCTCCCAAGAAAAAAAAATACTCTAGCAATAAACACCAAACTGAGCATGTGCATGTGACTATGGCTTCAGTCTGTATCAGGTGGTCATTTCAACAAGAGGAGGGACAGAGAAGACAGGATTACACAGCTTTTTTACACAATGCAGAGAATTAACCCCTTAGGTTCCACAGTGAGAATAACAAGCTTGCTTTACTGCATATAAAGACTGATTTTACTGCTGTGGGTTAAGGAACACTTTAACCCTTGCAGAGCTGGCATAACCCCATTGCAAGGGATACCTTTTTATTTGTCTGGAGTATGGCTTTAAAACATCCGCATGGCAATTTTTTTTTTAACATAGAGGGGATGCAAAAATGATAAAAGTTGGTGCTCTATATATAGGTTGTTATTCCATTATCAGGAAAGGAAATTAAAGTGTTAATTGGTTGTATTAGTGATTTCAAAAAGATCCAGCAGCAACTTGCCAGTTCCAGAAGACCCTATTTTAAAATGTTATTGTACTTTTTAATTAGGTTGAAGTTCCTAATTAAATTTAAAAAAAAAAGCTGCATCATTTGTTATACAATATTCTTTCGAGACTACACCGAAATAAAGAGCAGTGTACTGATACAAACTTGTAACTTCTCAAATACCATTTAAGGGAGTTTTACAGTCTTTTTAAAAGGAAAATATAAAAATTGGTTAATATTATTTTTCTATATTTTTTTTGTTATAAATGAAAGTTTTACACTTTTAAAATAATGTGTATACAATCTGTATTGTACTAATTATTGTTGATTTTTGGTTTTCGTTTACAGACTGGATGAGAATTGGTAAGTGTGTCCCTTCCCTGGTTTAATTGTCTGTGCAGTTATATTGAACATTTTGAATGGCGTTCTGCATATGGACAGGGGTAGAGGCCAGGGGAGGATGTAACATTAACCACTTGAGCTCCTGAGGATTTACCCCCCTTAATGACCAGGCCTCTTTTTGCTACTCGGCGCTGCACTAATTCAACTGATAATTGCGCGGTCATGCAATGCTGCACCCAAACGAAATTTACGTCCTTTTTTTCACACAAATAGAGCTTTCTTTCAGTGTAATTTGATCACCTGTGCGCTTTTTATTTTTCACGCTATAAACAAAAAAAGGACAAAAATGTTGAAGAAAAACAATATTTTTTACTTTCAGCTATAAAAAATATATAGTAAACTCAAAGTTGGTTATAAATTTAGGCAAAAATGTATTCTGCTACGTGTTTTTGGTAAAAAAAAAATCCCAATAAGTGTATATTGATTGCTTTCTGTGGAAGGTATAGCGTCTACAATCTATGGTATAAATACTGCAATTTACGCCTTTTTTCTGCTATACAGCGCTGCGCTAGTTTAACGGACAATTGCGCGGTCATGCAATATGGTACATAAATGAAATTTACATCCTTTTTTCCCCACAAATTGAGCTTTCTTTTCGGTGGTATTTGATCGCCTGTGCGGTTTTTTATTTTTTGCGCTATAAAAAAAAAAGGCTGACAATTTTGAGGAAAAAAAAACAATATTTTGGACTTTTTGCTATAAAACATGTCCACTAAAAAAAAATGCAAAAATCAAATTTAGTCATAAATTTCTGCCAAAATGCATTCTGCGACATGTCTTTGCTAAAAAAAAACCCAATACGTGTAAATTAATTGGTTTACGTGAAAGTTATAGCGTTTACAAATGGAAAGATACTGGGATTTTTAAATTTTTATTTATACTAATAATGGCGCCGATCAGCGACATATGGCGGCAATCAGCGACATATGACGGCGACCAGCGACTTATGGCGGGACTGCGGCGAACATTTTGACACTGGGGGGGGAACTGACTTGGGGTCACTAACATCCCCAGTGACACCAATACAGTGATCAGTGAAAAACACCACTGAAACTGTACTAATGTCACTGGGGAGGAAGGAGTTAACATTTTTAGAATTTGCTGTGTAAGGGGAGTGTTTTACTAGGGGGCAGGGGTGTGTACTGGACGGGGGAGGGAGGGGGGGGGAGCTGATCGAGGGAGAGCAGCTTGTCGGCGAACTGTCACAGAGCAGGGCTGTGTGTAAACAATGCAGCCCTGCTCTGTGTCAGTGATCACCGCTCATCGCGGGAAAACGGCTGGTAAAAACCGTCCGTGACCCGGCGGCGGAGACCCGCTGCTGACACCCGCGAGACAGGTAGGGCGGGCGCGCGCCTCGCGCACGCCCCCTACCTGGCTTGAAGGCGGCCGTTTTAAAACGTGCTTTTGCCTACGAGCGCCGCCCTGCCGCCGTTTATATGCGGTGGCTGGGCGGCAAGTGGTTAAAGCGTTACTAAACCCAGGACCCTGCATTCACTATATCTGGTCTCTCACAGTACAAAGAACATGGAAGTGCAATTATTTTAGTAAATAATACCTTTTCTCATCAGCGGTTAGAGCAGTCTTGTGACTTCAGCAGAGCACTGGTTAAAGCTTGTAGGAGGAGTTTTCTTTCTGCTCTAGGATAATGCAAAACCCCTGACCTCTGTCTGGACATCGCTGATTGTCCCAAGAAAAAAAAAACCTCTCTAGCAATACACACTAAACTAAGCATTCACATGTGGCTACAGGTTCAGTCTTTTTTTATCAGGTGGACATTTGAACAAGAGGAGGAGCAGAGAAGTCAGGATGAAATAGCTGTTTTACACAATGCAGAGGGTTAACCCCTTAGGTTCCACAGTGAGTATAACAACCATACTTTATTGTATATACAAACTGATTTTACTGTTGTGGGTTTAGTAACACTGTAAGGTGGTTGTAAAGCCTTAAGTTTTTTACCCTAATGTATTGTATGCATCAAGGTTAGAAAACCTTCTGTGTTCAGGCTCTCCAGACCCTCCTTATACTTACCTGTGCCCCATAGTGATCCAGCCCTGTGCCCGAGAGCAGTGACTTTCTCTGCTCTGTCCCTCCTCACAGGGCAGACCGGTAGCAGCAGGACTGGTTCCCACTACTGTCACACAAACTCTGTAATAAGGGAGTTGGGGGAGGCAAGACCCGCTGTCTGTGTCTAGTGACGCATGCAACGGGGCTTGGGACCAAACCTGCAGGAGTTCCCCCATAGGGAGCAGCTTCTTATGGGGGCACTCGCTAAAGAGCAGGAGCCAGGAGCACTGGTGGGGGACCCAAGAAGAGGAGGATCGGGGTTGCTCTGTGCAAAACCATTACACGTGTTTGTTATTTTAATGACAAAATAAAACTTTACAATCACTTTAAGCCTCCTTGGGGATGTAACATTACCACATGTGTATTAGAAAACCCTTTCAGGAAGTTTAAAAAAAAATCTGGGACTCTAACAATATATGGCTGGGCCACACAGTATATTAAAAGTATCTGTGGGGGCCAAAGGTCAGTTTTATAAATAAATGACCCCCAACATTGTACCTTCTTACATCAAGGTCCCCATCAGAGCTCCCCCCTTTACACCAGGTCACTCACATTGTCCCACCTTACATCAGGTTCCCACATTACATCAGGGTATTCATCAGAATCTCCCTTATATTAGGGTCCCCATTAGAGCCCCCACTTTTCATTAGGGTACTCATAAAACCTTACATTTGATTGAAGCAGAGACCATAGGCAGACTCTGCTTACCTGAATCTTCTGCAGGCCGGATAAAATCTTGTAGCAGGCTGAATGTGGCCCATAGGACATAGTTCAGAGAGTCCTGATCAGGGGCAGACTGACAACTCATGGGGCCCCCGGGCAATAGGGGATCATGGGGCCCCTGAGTCCTTGCCCAAACTAAAAAAAGCCTATGAAAAAGGTACCAGGGGCATCTAATGGGATCCCCTACTGACCCTGGGCCCTCGGGAAGTGCCCGAGTTTCCAAATGGTCAGTCCGCCCCTGGTCCTGATATATGAAAAGCCCTTGAGGGGACCATTTGTACCAACACTCATGTTACGTTTGTGAAATGGAATGTGTCATTTCTCTCTGATGATGTCATGCAGTCCTCCAGTGATGTTTTTCTGCAGACCCTTGCCCCATTCAGGGAATTAGCCTTTAGTATTTTTGGATAAGCAAGTACATAACCACCATGTCTCCTGAAAAAGCATATTCTATTTGTGAAACTCTTAGAGAATTTATAATATCCAATACAAACATAGAAGAGTGACAGCAGAAAAAAAAAACAAGTGGTCCATCAAGTCTGCTCCATTTAAATATTTATACATACACGGCTCGAAAAAATGTAAGGAACACTTTTTAATCAGAACTCCTGGGATATTGATCTGGTCAGGTAAGTAGCAGAGGGGGTTGTTAATCAGTTTCAGCTGCTTTGGTGTTAATGAAATTAACAACAGGTGTACTAGATGAACAACAATGAGACAACCCCCAAAACAGGAATGGTATTACAGGTGGAGGACACTGACATTTTTTTCCCTACTTTTCTGATTGTTTTTCACTAGTTTTGCACTTGGCTAGGGTCAGTGTCACTACTGGTAGCATGAGGCGATATCTGAACCCTACAGAGGTTGTACAGGCAGTCCAACTCCTCCAGGATGGCACATCAGTACGTGCTATTGTCAGAAGGTTTGCTGTGACTCCCAGCACAGTCTCAAGGGCATGGAGGAGATTCCAGGAGACAGGCAATTACTCTAGGAGAGCTGGACAGGGCCGTAGAAGGTCCTTAATCCATCAGCAGGACTGGTATCTGCTCTTTTGTGCAAGGAGGAAACAGGATGAGCACTGCCAGAGCCCTACAAAATGACTTCCAGCAGGCCACTAGTGTGAATGTCTCTGACCAAACAATCAAAAACAGACTTCATGAGGGTGGCCTGATGGCCTGATGTCCTCTAGTGGGCCCTGTGCTCACTGCCCGGCACCATAGAGCTCAATTGGCATTTGCCAATGAACAACAGAATTGGCAGGTCTGCCAGTGGCACCCTTTGCTGTTCAGAGATGAGAGCCGTGGAGAACATTATGTTGCCTGTAATATCGTTGAGCCTGATGGTTTGGTGGTGGGTCAGTATTGGTCTGGGGAGGCATATCCATGGAGGGACTCACAGACCTCTGCAGGCTAGACAATGACACCCTGACTGCGATAGGTATCAAGATGAAATCTTTGGACCCATAGTCAGATCATACCCTGGTGCAGTGGGTCCTGGGTTTCTCCTGGTGCATGACAATGCCTGACCTCATGTTACATAGTTACATAGTCTGGCTAAAAAAAGACAAAAGTCCGTCCAGTTCAACCATAAAAAAAAAAGTAATAATCCTACACCCATAGTTGTTCCAGAAGAAGGCAAAAAAAACAGCAAAGCATGATCCAATTTGCTCCTGCAGGGGAAAAAATTCCTTCCAGATTCTTCAAGAGGCAATCGGATATTCCCTGATCAACTTTACCTATAAATGTTAGTATTCAGTTATATTCTGTGTATCCAAGAAAGAATCCAGGACTTTTTTAAAGCAGTCCACTGAACTGGCCCGAACCAACGCTTGACGGAGTCTATTCCACATTTTCACAGCTCTTACTGTGAAGAAACCTTTCCATGTTTGGAGATTCAATTTCTTTTCCTCCAGATGTAAAGAGTGCCCCCTTGTCCTCTGTGATGACCTCAGGGTGAATAAACACCGAGTTCACTATATGAACCACTGATGTATTTATACATGGTGATCATATCCCCCCCAGGGGCGGACTGACCATTTGGAAACTGGGGCACTGCCCTGAGGCCCCGGGGTCAGTAGGGGGCCCCATGAGATGCCCCTGGTACCTTTTTCATAGGGCTTTTTTTGAGTTTGGGCACAGCAAGGACACAGGGGCCCCATGATCCCCTATTGCCCAGGGGCCCCATGAGTTGTCAGTCTGCCCCTGATCCCCCCTTAATCTCCTCTTCTCAAAAGAGAATAAATTCAGTTCCTCTAACCTTTCCTCATAGCTGAGCTCCTTCATACCTCTTATCAGTTTGGTTGCCGTTCATGTGCGTGAGAGTATACAGGCAGTTCCTGGAGGATGAAGGAATTGATACCATTGAATGCCCCCACGCTCGCCTGACCTAAATCTAATAGAACACCTCAGGGATATCATGTTTTGGTCCATCCATTGCCACCAGGTTGCACCTCAGACTGTCCAGGAGCTCAGTGATGCCTTGGTCCAGGTATCGGGATGAAATCTTTGGACCTATTGTCAGACCCTACGCTGGTGCAGTGGGTCCTGGGTTCCTCCTGGTGTGACAACAATGTCCAGCCTGACGTGGTGAGAGTATGCAGGTGGTTCCTAGAGGATGAAGGAATTGATACCATTGAATGGCCTCCTTGATCGCTTGATCTAAATCCATCTGACGCCACCAGGTTGCAGCTCAGACTGCACAGGAGCTCAGTGATGCCCTGGACCAGATCTGGGAGGAAATCCCCCAGGACACCATCTGTCATCTCATTTAGGAGCATGCCCCGACGTTGTCAGACACGCATACAAGCATGTGGGGCCATACAAACTACTGAGGACCATTTTTGAGTTGCTGCAATGACATTTCAGCAAAGTGGACTAGCCTGCTGCATCATTTTTTTCATTTTGATTTTCAGGGTGTCTTTGAATTCAGTCCTCTGTAGGTTGATCATTTTCATTTAGATCAAACAATGGGGTATCCTTACGTTCCTAACACATTGCCAGCCCAGTCCATATCAGTATAGATATCCAGCATGATATTCTTCCCCATTGAGATCTGATGTGTTTTCAAAATGTTCCTTTAATTTTTTTGAGCAGTGTATATATGTCAAGCGCTGTGTAAATTGTCAGTGTTATATCATGTGACAGTATGAAAGGCGCGGTGATCGATGGATGCTATGTGTCACCTCGCATGTGTTCATACTTGGGAGTTTAAGGTGGAGTCCACGCTGGGTTTTCTGGGCCACTATGGTAGAGGTGATTCCGGACCTGATTTTGTGGTCCACTGATAACCACCAGCAGGTGGTATAAAAAAAAAAAAAAAAAGTAGGATGGAGCAAGAAGCTGCTCCTGGCCCCGGACTCAGAGAGCCATTCCCGAGAGAGCTCTGTATGAAAGTGTGTGTTATACGAACAAGAAAAAAAAAAAAAAGGTTTGCTTATTGTCTCATTTTTGTTGGTGACGGGGAAGCCCTTCACCAGTGAGAGAGGAAAACTTCGGTGTTTAGTTAGTGCCGGGATGGCAGGGGTTTAATTTTTCTGTTTTTGTTTGTTTTGATATTTTGCAACCTTTTGAATAAAACCGACGACCAGTCAGATTTTAAAGAGCCTGTTGTGTGGACTTTCTTTTTTCCCAGGGAAGGTGATTCCCCCACCTGAGCTAACCCCACAATAAATACCTGTAGTAAATAAATTAAGATAAATAAATGTAAGTTCTCTGAAACTGAACACAGTATATTCTAAATGAGATCTAACTAAAAAATCTCATAGTTGAATATTCCAGTATTGATATTTTGTAAATATCTGATGGGATATTATTATAAGGAGGTTACATATGTAGCTGCTCATCTATTACATTTTATGCTTAAATGTTAATAAATATGATTTTTAGTAATGGGGAAAAGCTGCTGTATATTTCTTTCACATTAAATATCAGATTGTACATTAACCCGTTGCCACCCACATAGCACATACTGTACGTGCGGTAGGAAATAGGTGGGCTTTAACACAACTCATACATTGTACTTATGCATCTACAAGCAGCTGAAGCTTCTGTGGCTGAGAGCAGGGGCGGACTGACCATTTGGTAAACTCGGGCACTGCCCGAGGGCCTGGGGTCAGTAGGGGGCCCATGAGATGCCCCTGGTACCTTTTTCATAGGCTTTTTTGAGTTTTGGGCAAGGACACAAGGGGCCCCATGATCACCCTATTGCCCGGGGGCACCCATGAGTTGTCAGTTTCCGCCCCCCTGGCTGAGAGCGCCCACTGTGTGCTCCCAGCACATACACCAAGCTGTCTAAGACAGCTCACAGTCCCCACTAATGACTGGTAGCTGGTGAGTGTGACCGATCATGTGACCACTGTGACAGCCAACCACAGTGGTCACATGATGGCAAAGAGCAGAGTGACAGAAAGATGAGCTCATCTCTGTGCTGCTTCTCTTCTTTCACTGTCCAGTCACAGGCTGGGGAGGGTCCAGGTTGACCTGAGCTCAGAGGAAGTTGGGTTGAATGATGCTGAGGACATCTAGTGGCAGAAAAAATGACTGTGGGGGAAATCTCTGAACTGAAGGTGAATATTGCAGCAAAAAAGGTTGTCGTTATTTTGACTTTTCCTTTTCCTTTTGCTTTCTATCTTGTTAATTGTTCTCATTTACAAAGTAGTGTTAACCAGACCAGGAAGTGAAAAAAAATATATCTAGCAGAGTCCAACAGAGGTTTGATGGAAAGCTATCCATCCACTAGACCCAAAAGAACAATCTTACTTTCATCAGTCCACAAAATGTTGCGCCATTTCTCTTTAGGCCAGTCAATGTGCTCTTTGGCAAATGTAACCTCTTCAGCACACGTCTTTTTTTCAACAGTGGGACTTTGCGGGGGCTTCTTGCAGATAGCTTGGCTTCGCATAGGCGTCTTCTAATTGTAACAGTACTCACAGGTAACTTTGGACCTTCTTTTATCTTCCTGGAGCTGATTGTTGGCTGAGTCTTTGCCATTTTGGCTATTCTTCTATCCATTGGAATGGTAGTTTTTTGCTTTCTTCCACGTCTTTCAGGTTTTGGTTGCCATTTTAAAGCATTTGCGATCATTTTAGCTGAGCAGCCTATCATTTTCTGCACTTCTTTGTATGTTTTCCCCTCTCCAATCAATGTTTTAATCAAGGTACGCTGTTCTTCTGAACAATGTCTGGAACGACCCATTTTCCTCAGAATTTCAGAGAGAAATGCACTGTAACCAGCATGTACATCATTTGCTGCCTTCCTTCCTTAAATAAGGGCAATAATTGCCACCTGTTTTTTCAAAGAATGAATGACCTCACTAATAGAACTCCACACTGCTATTATTTTGAACATGCCCCTTTCAATGAGTGATTCAATTACACAGAATCAGCAGCATGCATGTCATGACTGTTGGGTCTGTTGGATTTCTATTACTCTACTACACCTGCTAGTAAATTATTTGCCATGTAGAATTATCATTTCTACCAAAAACAGTGATTGTTCAGGTTAGTGATGTCTGACTGCTATTATTTTGAACACAACTGTGTGTGTGTATATATATATATATATATATAAGTTAGAGGTTTGAAGTCTCTGACTTAGTGGAAAGCATCGTATATCATTCACACTCACCTGTACGAAGCGGAATTCCCGCCAGTTAAACAGCATTGCTGACTGATGGCAGCGAAGTAATGCCCAGTAACACATAGAAGAAGAATCCCAGTATACCCAGTGCCACATAGGAGTCAGAGAGCCAGGCATAGTAGTTCAGGAAGGGATATGTGGTATTGGATTTAATCTGCAAACCAAACACAAAGTAACTTTTTTTTTCCACTTATCTCTATTAATAGCATTAAACTGAGTTTACATTAGATTACATTTAGATTCCATTCAGTGCTACAAGCGCAGCATTGCCGGTGCCTGTGTCTCCGGTATTTGCCTAATAAGATAAATCATTTTAAGCCTCTTTGTAACTTCTTCCTATTTATATTTTGCCGTTATTTATTTCCTGCAAACTAAGACTGTAGATGAGTTTATTTTCATAGGTTTCTAATTCATTTTAAAAGGTATTTTAAGCCAACTGTAAATAAAGTGGGATTTTCAAATTAGGCGTAGTAATAACACCACTTCCTGTTGTACTCAGATATCCACTGCAGACCAAAAATCCATTTTAAATGAAGGTTCATTTTAAATCCCCAAAAAATTAAACATGAAAGTTTATGAAACTAAAAAAAAAATATATATATTTTGTAAACCCTGACAAGGAACTTCTCTTATTTGCTCCCTTTTGGTCTGTTTAATATACCATTGAAAGCATTTTATATTATATATGATTGGTGCAAAAACGTACATTTATCTTTCCATAAATCTAATACTTCCTGTGCTGCACCAGTACATTGTTCCCAGCTATTTTTGTGGACTACAGAATACAAATGTGCACAATCAATTTGTTTTGTTCTGTTTCACATTCATTCATTAAGGAAATAATTTAATTTAGTCATAATCAGGCCCGGACTGGGACAAAAAATAGGCCTGGCATTTTAGACTGAATGGGAGGGGTGTTCGCAGGGGAGTTTAGTGACGGAAAATTCATGGTGTCCTCCGCACTGTAATTTAAAGGGGCACTGTGATATAAAGGGTACTGCACTGTAAAGGGGCACTGTATTGATTGCAGTGCCCCTTTATAGTGCAGTCCCCTTTATATTACAGTGCCCTTAGAAATCTAATTACAGTGCCCCCCTATATATTCAGCAAAGAGACAGCCCAATCCAGCAAAGAGACATCCCAAATAGCAAAGATACAGCCCAATCCAGTAAAGATATACTGTGTCCCTATATAGCAAAGAAACAGCCCAATCCAGCAAAGAGACAGCCCGATCCAGCAAAGAGACATCCCCATATAGTAAAGAAACTGCCCAATTCAGCACAGAGACAGCCCACCCAGCACAGAGACAGCCCATCCAGCACAGAGACAGCCCATCCAGCAAAGAGACAGCCCATCCAGCAAAGAGACATCCCATCCAGCAAAAAGACATCCCATCCAGCAAACAGACATCCCATCCAGAAAGAGACAGCTCATCCAGCAAAGAGATAGCCCATCCAGCAAAGAGACATCCCATCCAGCAAAGAGACAGTACATTAAGCAAAGAGACATCTTTTCCAGAAAAGAGACAGCCCAAACAGCATCGAGACAGCCCATACAGCTAAGAGGCAGCCCATACAGCTAAGAGACAACCCATACAGAGTGTGCCTGCCAGTGAAGGAGAAAGGCCTCTGTTGTCCCTTCAATGCTGCTGTGTCTACAGCGGCTATGTGTGTATCCCCTGAGGCACTTTCTGCTTGTCATTGGAGCCGTCTCTCTCTTTCCTCCTGTCGGCCTTTCTTTAGGCATAGCCGTATAGTGGGAGGTGAGCGGCGTCCATGGTCTGTGTTAGACCTGTTTCAGACCAAGGTTGTCACTTGCCTCCCACTGTGCAGCCCGGTCAACAGGCTGCTCTTTTTTTAGGCCTGGTGGCTGCAGCCCGCCACGCAAATGCCTATGTGCCCTATGGCCAGTCCAGACCTGGTCATAGTCATGTTAGAATGATTCGTTTCCATAATTTGTTTTATATATTCAGATTTATTTGGTATATTTGGATTTGTTTTGTATATTCGTTGTTCTGAATCAGTTCATATTTTTGGAAGTTATTTCAGAAGATTGACCTTATTCATTTTAATTCATTATTTTGAGAGATTATTTGTACACTCTGAATCATCCCTGCTAGTCCAACCCACAAAGAGAAAAGACTGGAGTCACGTGCATCTGAAGTAACAAATGGAACAAAATTAATTTTGGATTCATTTGTTATGTTATAATTCAGAGATTCTGATGAATCCATCTCCATCCAACCCAAACACAAGTAGGAATCATCATCTTATTTCACTTTTATACTTTACTATATTTATTGCAATGTGTCTGCATTTCATATATAGTACACTTTTTATAATAACGAAAAATGTTAATGCAAATGAATCGGCTTATTATTAGAAAATTCATGCTACACTCAATACAATAACAACAGATGTATCTCAATCAATTCAGAAAATTCGTTATATTGTTACGCTATTTCGGAAGCTTCAATCAATGTTAACAAAAGGCCCAAACTATCGCATCATGTCCTCTGAATGAAAACTAATTAATACAAATTAATTTGTTGTTTTCATTATAATTTATTTTGGTTTAATTGAAATTCATTATTATTGTGATTCGAGATTCGAATACATCCGAATCACAAAATTTCCATCCAAATTTTGATTCATAATGAAACAAGTCGCACATGTCTACTATAGAACACCCCCTGCCTCTGTTTTTGGAAAAAAGTGTTCTGTAGATTCTGTCTTCCTGCCATGGGGTGACAACTAGGGATGATTTTGTGTTGAATCAGCTTCAGGTGAGCTATCATTCATGGGTGGGGATTTCCTGCCCTGCAGCTGACATACACTGGGGGACAAGGTTGCTTGTGATATCACTGACCTAAGATGCCAATGTGGCTATAATGCAGCTACCACATCTAAGGAATGGTATGCTTCAATGTGTTATATTTTTGTACTTATGTTTAGATATATTTTTATAACCCAACATTTATGGCCTGTCCAGAATTGCAGAGGTGGTATCAATAGTGCTCAAAGTGAATCTTAGACTCAGAACCCCAGGAGAGTATGGCAAGAGTGCTAACGAAAAATATATCTAAAGCCAAAATGTTTTGTTTTTTCATTGTTTTGGATAGAGTAGGGAACGATTGGGTCGATGACATGGTTGAACAACTGGGACAGGTGTCCTCACTGGAAGATTTCTGCTCTATCTCTGCTCTGGTGACAACTGTAATATTTTTAATTTCCCAATGTCCTTAGTTCTGGAGCTAATGGTAACCAATTGGGATTAACATGGGTTTGGTCCAAACGAAGGTTCAGACTGAACCTTTGGAGGGGATGCTTATGACATCAATAACCTGATATGGCCATGTGACCACCTGCTGTGTTCATTTAAAACTTACTTGACTCATACCTGTCACACTCTTATTCTTCAGATTACTCTAAAATATCTAAAATTAGGGAAAGGGGTTTCGGCTTTGCACTTCATTTTCCATGAGTCTTCAGTTTATATTAAATCAGTTGAATTTAATATTGCTGAGGTTAAAATAATTACCTGTGCCTTTATGTAATATTCCACCCACCACCTTACATAGTAACGTATGGGCATCACCAGTGTGTAGATGGCATGTAGAAAGGCATACGCCAATGCTACCAGCCCAAGCTGTTTCCGGCAGAGCATCCATTTGTCCAGCCAGTCTGGAAATCTGCTGTATTTGGTGCCTCGGTATAGCTGGATGATGGCTGCAAAAATTCCTGGCAGATACACTAAAGCCAGCAGTATGAGAGACACGATGGGGAACACTCGGTTGGCAATGGAAATCATGATGAGGTAGGAAGTGTCCTCCTTCCCTGTGACAAGGGGATGGAACACTTCAAAGATGAGACAATAGAGGAAGACCAATATGGTGAAACCAGCACAAATATAAAAGGGAAGTCTCCACAATGGGAATAACTGCAGTGGGTAATTCTCAATCTCTTTAGCTGCCAGTAGAGATCCTTGGTCCAATGGCGTCAGTCCAAGAGATCGAACGATCTCCATAACTGCTTCCTTTGCTTTTGCTTCATCTCCACAAAGAAAAACCTGTTCAGATATAAAAAATTGGTTGGAGTGCTGCATTATCATGAAAGAAATGGCAACTACAATATTAAAATTAATACATATTCAAACTGTGAATACTACCATGATTATTATTATTATTGTTATTTTTCATATTCTTCCTTGGGTGTTTATTCTACCCATCTGCAAAAATAATTGGTACTGTAATTAGTACAGCAGCTTCAGGGCTTTTCTAAAGCTGTGCAAAGCCCTGGAGCCTTGCCACAATGCACCAATTGCAATTGGTTGCAATATACCCATGGCACCCGGAAAAGAAAAATATAGCGGTGCTCAACGCATGCTGCAATGATATTGGGAAATTACCTTAGTTCATGACTAATGTTTCTGCATTTTATTAGCCCAGGTCAGGAAGGGATTTGTATTTCCTGCACACCTAGGACAGTGCATTATGATTCTCAGCCCTGAGCAGCTGTTCAAAACATTTGATGATTCTCATCCCTGACCAGCTGCTCACAGCATGTGATTATTCTCAGCCCTTATCAGCTGCACAGGAAACACACACATTTCATTTTTTCCCTTCTGAAGCATAAGAAAATTGTTAGTTTTACTTTCACTGCTGGAGGATTGTGCTACCAGGACATATTGGTATGCACAACGGGGCAGCATGATTTAAGGTGGAATTCCCATCAAAATGTAACTAAAGCTAAACCTACTCTCATCCTATTCTAAGCCTACTCTACCTAACCTTGTAAAGAAAAGTCCCCTATGCTCACCTATTCTGAAGCCATTATGGTCCGGTCACAAGATCAGCTGTCAGTGGCGGCTTCTGTGTAGAGGAGGGGCAACCAACAACGGATGCCCCATGGTAAGTCTACAAGGAATTTCTAGCTGCTGCCGGCATTCTCTTATGCACACAGTAGCGACCACTGGAGACCGGACTGGAGCGGCTTTATAATAGGTAAGTATTGGGATTTTTTTCTTTCCAGGGTTAGATAGAATAGGCTTAGAAAGGGGGTAGGAGTAGGTTTAGCCTTAGTTAGATTTTGACTGGAATTCCACTTTAAGAGTAAGTAAGTTAAATCTTAGGCCCCATTAACACCTGAGAATTTTGGAGCTCAAGATTAAGGCCCCATTCACACCTTCACATTCCTGAACATGTTCCTGAAACGTCCAAAAGCGAGCAAAAAAGCTCTAAGTGCTTGAACTGCCATTATTTCATTGCATCCCAAACACAGGACATGCATGTTTTGTTGCACAACAAAATGCTCTAAAACATGTAGTAAATAAAGGCACCGAGGTCTGCTCCCAAAATATAGTGTGGGACCAGCTTTTGTACTTTCACACTGTCAGGCAAAATATGTGTCAAAAATGAGTGGAAAAAAAAGCACCAAGGAGCATCACGCAAGTGTGAATGAGGCCTAACAACCCCATTGTTTTAAATGGTGCCCGTTCACACCTAAATGCTCAGTCGCCTCTTGGCAGACACCTGTTCTAAAAGGTAGAGAAGCTTCCTTTCTTGCAGATGATTGGGCATTTTTGGACCCAAAATGCACAAAAATGCATGTTTTCAGGCGTTCCTGTAATGAATGTCTGTAGGGCCAAAATTCCTTTCCCAAAGAAGTTCCTGTAGGGCACATCGCTCCTAAGACACCCAAAACAATTCAATAATGCACAAAAAAGTCTTTAAAATCATCTGAGTTTGTTATGCTCAAGGTTGAATGGAGCCTTAGTGCTTTTGCCAATTGTTTCTTTTATCAAAATAGCTAGTTTGACATGGCCCTAGGAGCAGGGGTGTATTTACCACAAGGCAAACAAGGCACTTGCCTATGGCAGAATTTTTCAGAGGGGAAGCACCGCCCCCTGGAAGAAGGGATGGAAGAAGAGACACATGCGGCTTGGGGAACAGGTGGGATCTGAAAGAGGCTGCGGGCTGCTTGACTCTCTTTTCTGGGGATGTCCAGGACTGTGAGGTGAGTGTCTTTCTCTCTCTGCTGGGAGGGGAGTGGCCACTGTATGGGGGCAATGGCAGTGGAAGGCTCTCTCAGGTGGAGGGGAAAGGTGTGTTGTTGCTCAATGTCAGGCTCTCTCCGGGAGGGGGGATTTCAGGTTGCCTAGGGCAGCACAAAACCTAAATACACCACTGCCTAGGAGTATAAAGCATAAAACAAAGCTTATTGATTCCGTTAGCACAGTGGATTGTGGATCATTTACCTGTCTGCTGGCATCCAACGTTCCTGATTGTAAAGCCCAGGCAGACACTGTATTAAATGCTTTGACCACTTTAGCTCCCGTTACCAGACTAGCTAGGAGCTCAGCATTAGATTTTGGGTATTGGTTGATTTTCAGGTTGTTACTGACATCTACTAAGATTTTTCCCTTCAGGATGTCAGAAAATGGCATCAGAAAGTCATAGTGCTCCCTGTGAATGGCTATGATAATGATGGAGGACTTCATTGCGGCTTCAGCATGACTGAGAACCTCAGCTCCTCTTGGAATGAGGTTGGAGGAATTTGGGTTTCTGCTTCCAAAGACAACCACATAACCACACTGGAGTAACTTATACCCCAGAGATCGTCCAAAATCTCCAGTGCCAAATATACAAACGGTTCCACGTTTTGTTGGATCTGAATGCACTTGAAGAGGAATGTTCGGGTATTCATCCATCTCCTGGAAAAGAAAGGCACAGGTTGCTTTGTAGTGATATGTAGATACGGCAGTACATTTTGGTAGTTGTATTGGAATTACCAAACAAACAAGAGTTGCCACTTTCAAGCATGCAGACGTCAGATCCACTTTCTAAACAGGAATTCTAGCAAAACAGCTAATTAGGTGGTTGAAATATATATTTTTTTTCTGTTCTACCAGCCAAAGGGTTTACCATTTTGACCAGATATTCTCATCACACACTAACCTGTTACAGCCAGCACGGGTTATGTATAGCCAAACCATTTTTATTGTAGTTTTGAATAGAGCAGAGGAGAGTTAAAGGATAATCTCACCTTTTGGACAAAAATAATAAATGCACATTTTTTGCAGGTAAAAAAATGTGCGTTTATTATTTTCATCCAAAGGAGCCTGGAAAGAATTGCACCAGGGATCAGTAGATCGCTGATGCCATGCAGGTCTCCTGCAGACCTGTCAGAATATCTGCTTGCTGTGCAGGGATGTATGAGGAAGCAGATATTCTGACAGGAGACATCAATGAACTACCACGGCGTTCCACAACGCCATGGTAGTTCATTGAAAACTGCAAGCCCACAGCCACTAAGGAAGTCCGTGAATGAATAACGTGGCTGTGTAGGTTGTGGTAACGTGTGCATTACTGTGAATCTGGCTGCAATGGACCTGGGGTAAGGCAAACCTTCATAAAAAGTAACAGAAGCTGTCAAATATTTACTTTTGCTGCAAAAATCATTGCTTTATATTACGCTGGCAGCCAGTCATGCGATCAAAATGCAACGATGTTTGCTGCAGGGGAGAATCAAAGATCAATCAGAGTTGCTGACCTGATGACTCCTCTCGGTAGGGATCATGCAGACAGCCATAGTGACGTGACCTGGCATGATGGAATCCTTGGATGGCAGTATTTTCACTGAAGGTATTTTGTAGTTTCTGTTACTTTTTATGACTTTAATGTGACCCTGTCACCACTGGTAACTAAAGGCAAGCAGGGAACGTGTATTAGAGAAACCCTACACAAAAGAGAAACTTCCTACTGTAGCTACATGACTTTATATAGCATACATTTCTTGGTGGAAAACCAACAGCAAAATCGGTACTTATAGAAGGCCATCTGCAGTGCCTACCACCCCAACCCCAACATTAACATGATAAGTCCACAGTCTTTGTTTACTATGCAGCAGCTTTTACTGACGATCCTATGAGAATTTTTATCACGCTGTTGAAACACTGATGACTTAGGCGTTGCGGGATAGTGATGTAGTGGGCAACCTGGTCTCGGAAATGACAATTTTGCAGAAGGAATGGATAAAGATATCTCTGCTGATCCGAATCACATGGTGAAGCAAACTGGAATATGTTAAACTGAAGTACTGGATTCCACTTGTTAATTGATCATAATAAGATATGGGGTGTCAGGTGAGAGTCGGCCCTTAAACACAAAGAGGATACCCCTATAAATGGGGGACCTGAAATCTAAAAGCAACATTTATAAAGTCCAAAATTAGTGCCAGACCAATGAGCTGAGAGTCAAAAAAACATAATAGTCAATGCTTTTCGAGAGTATCTCCCTTCATCATGGCTCAGATATTGTGTAAACCTGGGTAGACTCAAAATGGAAGACTCATCACAATGAATTGTTTGATGAAAAAAAAGTGAAACAGCATCCAGGACTAAATTAGTAACATCTTTGTACCTTTGAAATAAAGCACTGTTGTCTCCGTGCTGCCCAGTGATAGTACCTTTGAACCCTTGAAACACATACTGTATAATTTTTTAAAAATCAAATAATTAATTGTGGTGATTCTGCCATTTTAGGTCCTCTTATAGTTATACAATAACTGAAGAAGGAGATACCTTTGAACCCCTGAAATATGTTGACTGTTTTGTATTGTTTTGCTGCACATATTCCAACATTCAGCCTGGGTTCACATATATGCGGTGCGGTATATCGCATGTGATTCACACAGGAACTGCACCGCATTCCTGTGCAAATCACATGCGAATTGTGTGCGGTGCGATTGGAGCCATACATTGTGTGTGGCTCTAATCGCACTGCACCTGCACCAAAAACGTGCAGGACCCTTTATTTGGTCCGCACTAGAATCGGATCGCATTGTCATTCACACCTATGCGATCCAATTCCGCACATAGCACTACGTTTTGCGAACCACTTTCAGGATGTTGTTAACTTAACATACACAATATACAGTAAAAGGTGCAGCGCTAAGACATAATGTGCAAAATAATGCATATAAAATCACAAAAATCACATAAAGTGCAAAATTAAAGTGCCAAAAAATAAGGATGTCACCAAAAAGCTGAGCGTGGTGAATAAATGTCCCAAATAAAACAGCCCACGTGAAGATCTGGTACGATCTCAATAAGGGGGGGCTACAGCAACTGGACGTCTAGCCACCGCTGTTGGCCATCCTACTAATATATGGTCAGTGTTTTTCCTATTTTAATTACCTTGTCATTATTCTTTTACACCTACCCTTTATGGAATAAAGTTCCCTATACAGTATCACGCTATGTGGTGTCCCTTATTTGGCTCTCCTTGTGAGTGCTGCCATTTGCAGACCCTGCTTCAAAGGTGACCCCAGATGGTGATACACTTCAAGGACCCCTGAGCACCCTTTCAGATGTGATCAGAAGGTGTGTGAGATGGGGAAATAGCTCTCATTGTTTGAATACTGCTTGTGTGGAGTAAATTAAATGTTTTGACTGACATTCTGCAGTTTAGCCACAAGATGTCACTGTTTTTCTAACACAGCCTCAGACTGCATAGATCTTTCTATATTCATGAAGAGGTGGAGTGTTCACACAGAGTTGAGAGAGAAAGGGAAGAAGAGAGAGCAGCCATGTTCTGGAGAATGGTGAATGAGGGGGCCGTGTGAGCTGAGAATCTGATGACATCCAGGTGTGAAAGCATCCCTCCGTAACCAGAGCTGCAGCTAAGTGAAGATGATGAGATTGCTGCCAGGAATGCTGATGAGATTGCTGCCAGGAATGCTGATGAGAGCAGAGGAACTAAGCAACATATACGGCGAGACCGCATGCTTGTTGGAGAGACATTTGTTCTGTTCAAAGTCACCAGCGGATGCAAAGCAGACCTGGGTCGGTAAGATCGTGCACGCACCTCATTTCAGTGTTGGCGCCTTGAGACTGAGTCCAGGCCTATAGTTAGTTAGTTAGGGTCTCTGTTTCAGGCCACAAGTGTTATTACTGATCATTGGAAGGACTCCACAACTTAAAGTGACATTTCACATTGGAGAGCTGATAAAATCCTACAAACTCAAGCCAGACTGGCGTTTTGCTCAGAAGGAATACTCAGGCACGTGCTACAGGACCAGTTATGGGAGAGGGAATACTGTAGATTTGTGTAAGATTGTAAGCTGTTGTGCTGCACCGCAGGCTAGCCCATCCCATACACCCATACACTGATTCCTGCTCTTTTAGGGTAATAACAGGTAAGGTGTGGCCGCTTAGTTGTGCCCGCCAGTAGGTAAATTACTACACTTTCTACCTTCATCCATCAGAAGGCGCTGTGCTGTGCAGCACAAGGGTGTCAGCCTTTGGGCTGGGTGTATGTAAATTTATTGTATGTTCTCAGCATTTGTGGTTGTGTTTATTTGCCACATCTAAGTAAAATTCTGTTGTGGCAAAAGCTGGTGTTGGGGTTGCTTTCCTCGTTCGTGACTTCACTGTATCCTGGGTAGCCCACCTCGGTACACGGCCTTCAGGTGTAGGAACCTGACCTGACCTGGGAGCAGATGACCTGATTGATACCTGATGAGACAGGCTATATCTCAAATGCGTGTTTTTTTTACACACTTCTGGCGAGTGCGCAATTTTACTAATTGCATTTATCATCTGCCACCCTGGACCAGATTCCCACGCACGTATATTGAGATTGTACCAGATCTTCACGTGGGCTGTTTTATTTGGGACATTAATTCACCACGCTCACGTTTTTGGTGACATCCTTATTTTTTGGCACTTTAATTTTGTACTTTATGTGATTTATGTGATTTTATACGCATTATTTTGCACATTATGTCTTAGCGCTGCACCTTTTATATTGAACACTTTTAGGAAGGTTTTATTTGGTTGCCTTTTCGGTGTACGAGCAGCTGTTTTCTTTTACAGGTAAACGCTTGCTCATTTTTCTTTTATCCAACTTGACATACACTCCCGCAGCAGTTTAACCACTTGCCTACCAGGCACTTATACCCCCTTATTTACCAGGCCAATTTTCAGCTTTCAGCGCTGCCGCACTTTGATTGACAATTGCGCGGTCATGCAACATTGTACCCATATGAAATTTTTGATCATTTTTTTCTCACAAATAGAGCTTTCTTTTGGTGGTATTTAATCGCCGCTGGGCACTTTACTTTTTGCACTATAAATAAAAAAAGTGCAAAAAATTTGAAAAAAAAAAAAAGTTTCTTTGTTTCTATTATAAAATTTTTCAAACAGGTATTTTTTCTCCTTCACTGATGTACGTTAATGAGGCAGCACTGATGGGCACTGATAGGCGGCACTGATGGGCACTGATAGGCAGCACTAAAGGGCATGGATAGGCAGTACTAATGAGGTGGCATGGATAGGCGGCACTGATAGACAGCACTAATGAGGTGTCACGGATAGGCGGCACTAATATGCAGCACTGATAAGCGGCACTGATAGGTGACACTGATGATGGGTACTGATAGACGGCACTGACTGGCATCACTGCTGGGCACTGACTGGCGGCACTGACTGGAACAACCCCTGGGCACTGACTGGTGGCACTGACTGGCAGCACTGCTGGGCTGCACTGGTGGGTGGCACTGGTGGGCAGCACTGGTGGGTGGGCACAGGTGGGTGGCACTGGTGGGCACAGGTGGGTGGGCACAGGTGGGTGGCACTGCTGGGCACAGGTAGGTGGCACTTCTGGGCACAGGTGTGTGACACTGCAGAGTGGCACAGGTGGGTGCACT